CTTCATTCGCAGTTGTATCTCGCCGATCACAAAGAGTTGCACGATAGATTGAGAAAAATGACTCATTATTTATACATGTGTAATGCTTTCCTTCGCGGTATCGTACATTATTACGTAACTCCTCGCGGCTCTTTCATCGTGATAAGTTTCTTTTTGAAACTATCCCCAAAGAAATACACAATAAATCACACAAATAAGCGACTGAATATTCAACGATATATTTGACCGTCTGTCACAATATTTTCCCTTTCAGTGACTTGATAATACAAAATGTCTTTCTACGACAATCACTACTATTATCTTAACAAAAGATTCTTGTCCATTATCGGCCAATGGCCATTTCAATCGCGACTGGAGAGTAACGTGATGCTCGCTATTACATTATTGTTCCTTTGCAGTTTGACGGCTTTAGAGGTGTTTGAAATGTATCATGATATAAACAATAGTGATAGAAGTTAAAACAAAGATTGATTGTCTGTTTCCGATATGCTGTAGTTCTTGGGCCTAATAGCTGGAATAACGAATATGAACATCATCATGGAGAATACATCGCCGTTATTGATCAACAGCTTCATCTTCGTGAAGCTAATCAACTCTCTCTATAATAAGTATAAAGTTCGTTACATTTTGTCGCGCAAAGTTAATCGAATCGTTCTGTGATTATAAACCGAACGATTTCTTCGAGCTGCAGATGAAGGATCTTCTAGAGTGTATCGAAGAGACCTGGAAGATGACACAAATCGGACCAGAAAAGGAAATATTGCGGAGTTACGCGAAGCAAAGCAAAACATTAACGATACAATATGCCCGTAAGTAACTTGAGTTATACGAAAATTAAAAATTTGTTGTCAAATCAGCTGGGTACTGAATAATATATAGAAATTCAATATTTATTTCTTAATATCACCATTGACTGAGTGATTTTTCGACTGAAATATCGTAAATATTTCTATTTTTTTTCTTTTGGATTATTTCGTATTTTCCGGAAAGGTGTGCCTTCTGTTTTTATTTAAACTATATTGTGCTTGAACTCTCAGTAGTCTTTGATATAAAGAAATCTCTCTTGCCTTTATTAAATTAATATGATATGGAACAAGAGAAAAAAAGGAATAATTCGTTGCAGTTGCTCTTTATTCTTCGTGGATCTTTTACTCCACAATGCCGATCGTCGTCAGTGAAATATATTCGCTCTTACCAACAAACGAAACTTACACGGCCAGGTATCTATTTCGCTTGGAACATGTTCTCGATGTAGACAAGTACTTTAATCTCTTGATGCTTCATGGGATTATTAGTGTATTCTATATAGTGTCAGTGCCGATAGCTGTCGACAGTATGTTTGTTCTTTGCATTCAACATGCCTGTGCATTGTTCGAGGGTATAAAGTAAGCCCGATGTTGCATAAAAACTATAATGTATCAAAAAAATTTCTGAACAATATTTTTATAAAATAGGTACAAGATACAGCACATACGAGGCTCCGATTTTGTGACGCTCAAGCCGAATATAATGGACGATGAAGCGTTTCATGTCATAATTGATTGCATTAAATTGTACAAACGTGCCTTAAAGTTAGTGCCAGTAGCGTCTATAGGTATAGATGTATCTTGCGTAATTTGATAGAAGAAGAACTTATATAAAGTATATTATTTTTATATAGTATTTTATAGCTTCTCGCGACAATTTAAATATTTTTATATCGCTCTCCTTCATTCTATGTTAAATTAAATTACATAAACTAATTATATAAAACATTTTTCAATAGACCAATACATTTGTTTCATACTTTTACAGATTTTCAGATCTGCTCTCATCCACTTTCGAAACATGTTTTTTCTTTTTACTGGGAAATGTAGTCATAGCTTTAAGCTTCAACGCAGCTGAGGTAAAAATTCAATTTGAAAATTTTAAACAATACCAGCCATTTTATTTGGGATGTATAATAAAGATAATGTTTAAGTTGATAATGATGGACATTCAGTTGGATGAAATAATCAGAATCGTTGCTGCTAATATGGGGCAATTGTTACATATATTCTATTTGAGTTTTATGTCTCAACGACTGATCGATCACAGCAGCGGACTCCAAGAAGCAATGTATGTGTGTGCATAAGTTGATCAATAATATTAAGAATATTGAAAGAAATTTAGTGCTCACTTTGTTTAATTACTAAAGAAAATTGGAAAAAAAGAAATGTATGGAAATAGAATATTTTGCAATGATGTATAATATTTTATGATTCTACTTTGTATGTCTGTATGTGTAGTACATATACATACACACATTTGAGCGATTTATAAATCAATGTCACCATTTGAGCGAATTAGAAATAAACGATCAATTAATATATCAAATGGATTAACAGTTATAGCTGTGAGTGGTACAAAATTTCATTAAGATCCAGACAACTGTTGAGATTCACATTAATGCGAGTTATTAAACCATGTCAAATAAAAGCTGGTAAAATATACGTAATGTCAATGGAAAATTTTAGCTCGGTATGTATGATTACAAATGTATCACTATTTTGGTCATAAAATGCAAACTTTTTGTTTTTCTTATTATTTTCAGATATTAAAGGTATCCGTGTCTTACTTCACTATGCTCACATCTATGCAATAATAATCATATAAAGCGGTATAATAATCTAGAAATATGATTGATTACAAGCTTAATTATTCAATATAATGGATAACTTAAGCACTGATATAATATACTAATTTAATATATGTTATTTACAAAAAAACATTAAACCTTAAATTGATATTAGTTTCTACTTTTATACGAAATGTGATCTTAATATAATAATGACAAATATATATAGAGGAAAGTAGGGTAAAACTGGGTACCTTTTTGGATTTGTTTTCCTACAAAAAATCTGAGAGTAAACCGAGAATAACAAGATTTTGTGGAGAAGTCTAAGTACCCGGTTTTGTCTTACGGGTAGGATAAAACCGGGTACCCATTTGAAAATATGCAAAACACCGTGTAATTATAAAATCTAGATTTATTTTAATCAAAATACAATATAAAGATGTATTCTATTGACAAGAATCACAAATAAATATATCCTCTTGTTCGACATTGCTGCAAGAGTTCCTTATTTAACTTTTTAACTTTAAGGATCTCAAAAAGCTTTTATTTTTAGTGGTTTCTTTTTCTGGGCGTTAGTTTTCGTTTTCAACTGCTTTTTGTAATATATAGTTTGACCTTCAATTGCAAGGTTCGCGTACTATTTCTCTTACTATCCCTTGTCCTACGTATTCATCTAAGTTTCACAAAGTTCGCTTACTTTATAAAACAAAGGATATATAGTTTCATTCGCAGTTGTATTTTGCCGATCACAAAGAGTTGCACGATTGATTGAGAAAAATGACTCATTATTTATACATATGTAATGCTTTGCTTCGCGGTATTGTACATTATTACGTAACTTCCCGCGACTCTTTCATCGTGCTGAGTTTCTTTTTGAAACTATCCCCAAAGAAATACACAATAAATCACACAAATAAGCGACTGAATATTCAACGATATATTTGACCGTCTGTCACAATATTTTCCCTTTCAGTGACTTGATAATACAAAATGTCTTTCTACGACAATCACTACTATTATCTTAACAAAAGATTCTTGTCCATTATCGGCCAATGGCCATTTCAATCGCGACTGGAGAGTAACGTGATGCTCGCTATTACATTATTGTTCCTTTGCAGTTTGACGGCTTTAGAGGTGTGTGAAATGTATCATGATATAAACAATAGTGATAGAAGTTAAAACAAAGATTGATTGTCTGTTTCCGATATGCTGTAGTTCTTGGGCCTAATAGCTGGAATAACGAATATGAACATCATCATGGAGAATACATCGCCGTTATTGATCAACAGCTTCATCTTCGTGAAGCTAATCAACTCTCTCTATAATAAGTATAAAGTTCGTTACATTTTGTCGCGCAAAGTTAATCGAATCGTTCTGTGATTATAAACCGAACGATTTCTTCGAGCTGCAGATGAAGGATCTTCTAGAGTGTATCGAAGAGACCTGGAAGATGACACAAATCGGACCAGAAAAGGAAATATTGCGGAGTTACGCGAAGCAAAGCAAAACATTAACGATACAATATGCCCGTAAGTAACTTGAGTTATACGAAAATTAAAAATTTGTTGTCGAATCAGCTGGGTACTGAATAATATATAGAAATTCAATATTTATTTCTTAATATCACCATTGATTGATTTTTCAACTCAAATATCATAAATATTTCTATTTTTTTTCTTTTGGATTATTTCGTATTTTCCGGAAAGGTGTGCCTTCTGTTTTTATTTAAACTATATTGTGCTTGAACTCTCAGTAGTCTTTGATATAAAGAAATCTCTCTTGCCTTTATTAAATTAATATGATATGGAACAAGAGAAAAAAAGGAATAATTCGTTGCAGTTGCTCTTTATTCTTCGTGGATCTTTTACTCCACAATGCCGATCGTCGTCAGTGAAATATATTCGCTCTTACCAACAAACGAAACTTACACGGCCAGGTATCTATTTCGCTTGGAACATGTTCTCGATGTAGACAAGTACTTTAATCTCTTGATGCTTCATGGGATTATTAGTGTATTCTATATAGTGTCAGTGCCGATAGCTGTCGACAGTATGTTTGTTCTTTGCATTCAACATGCCTGTGCATTGTTCGAGGGTATAAAGTAAGCCCGATGTTGCATAAAAACTATAATGTATCAAAAAAATTTCTGAACAATATTTTTATAAAATAGGTACAAGATACAGCACATACGAGGCTCCGATTTTGTGACGCTCAAGCCGAATATAATGGACGATGAAGCGTTTCATGTCATAATTGATTGCATTAAATTGTACAAACGTGCCTTAAAGTTAGTGCCAGTAGCGTCTATAGGTATAGATGTATCTTGCGTAATTTGATAGAAGAAGAACTTATATAAAGTATATTATTTTTATATAGTATTTTATAGCTTCTCGCGACAATTTAAATATTTTTATATCGCTCTCCTTCATTCTATGTTAAATTAAATTACATAAACTAATTATATAAAACATTTTTCAATAGACCAATACATTTGTTTCATACTTTTACAGATTTTCAGATCTGCTCTCATCCACTTTCGAAACATGTTTTTTCTTTTTACTGGGAAATGTAGTCATAGCTTTAAGCTTCAACGCAGCTGAGGTAAAAATTCAATTTGAAAATTTTAAACAATACCAGCCATTTTATTTGGGATGTATAATAAAGATAATGTTTAAGTTGATAATGATGGACATTCAGTTGGATGAAATAATCAGAATCGTTGCTGCTAATATGGGGCAATTGTTACATATATTCTATTTGAGTTTTATGTCTCAACGACTGATCGATCACAGCAGCGGACTCCAAGAAGCAATGTATGTGTGTGCATAAGTTGATCAATAATATTAAGAATATTGAAAGAAATTTAGTGCTCACTTTGTTTAATTACTAAAGAAAATTGGAAAAATAGAAATGTATGGAAATAGAATATTTTGCAATGATGTATAATATTTTATGATTCTACTTTGTATGTCTGTATGTGTAGTACATATACATACACACATTTGAGCGATTTATAAATCAATGTCACCATTTGAGCGAATTAGAAATAAACGATCAATTAATATATCAAATGGATTAACAGTTATAGCTGTGAGTGGTACAAAATTTCATTAAGATCCAGACAACTGTTGAGATTCACATTAATGCGAGTTATTAAACCATGTCAAATAAAAGCTGGTAAAATATACGTAATGTCAATGGAAAATTTCAGCTCGGTATGTATGATTACAAATGTATCACTATTTTGGTCATAAAATGCAAACTTTTTGTTTTTCTTATTATTTTCAGATATTAAAGGTATCCGTGTCTTACTTCACTATGCTCACATCTATGCAATAATAATCATATAAAGCGGTATAATAATCTAGAAATATGATTGATTACAAGCTTAATTATTCAATATAATGGATAACTTAAGCACTGATATAATATACTAATTTAATATATGTTATTTACAAAAAAACATTAAACCTTAAATTGATATTAGTTTCTACTTTTATACGAAATGTGATCTTAATATAATGATGACACATATATATATACATGTGTACCGCATCACCTCGCTGTCATAATTATTAATAATTGGCGCAACCAAATAAAACAAATAATAAAAGATGAATAAAACTAAAAAAAGTGCATCCACTTTCTTCAAGTTCTTAAATAAAAATAAAGTTATGCAATAAAACTAATATTTATTTACTAAACTATATTTTAATAAATGCGATATGATTATATACTATACATTTAACATCACAGCACTACTTACCGCACTGATGCTCGATGTTATACTAGTATCAATCTTAACTACGATGAGATAGAAAAAATTCACCATATCCGAAAAAGTTCTTTTTGAATCTAAAGAATTAGATATTTATATTCCATTAGTAATATGTTACTTATTTAAATTTGTGAAGTTTGTTTAAAAATCGATTAAATTCATATTAGCATATAGAATTTTACATTTACATTTGCTATTATTTATTTTAATACTATATTTACATACACATACTATTTACATTAGTATATAGAAAAAAGATAATCGAACCAAATATAGATTAGATTACTATATAAAGTTTACATAATTATATAAATTTATTTCAACCTGTTATTAACACATCCGTACACACACACACACACACACACACACACACACACACACACACACACACACACACACACACACACACACACACACACACACACACACACACACACACACACACACACACACACACACACACACACACACACACACACACACACACACACACACACACACACACACACACACACACACACACACACACACACACACACACACACACACACACACACACACACACACACATCTTCAGCACTTCGTAATTTTCATTTTTTCATCAATTTACAGGCATAAACATTTGTAGCATCAGTTGGTGTAACGAAAAATTGAATGAATCGTTCACAGTATATGACATAGACAGATGGCATAAATTTTACCGCATGCATTTATGCTTGCAGTAAAATATAAAGAATTTAAACAAAAAAATTGATTACCGCAAGAGTTTGCCTTAATCTATTCTTTAATTCTAAATTTAAAAATATTACATTATAGTAATAAAACTTGTTAAATATATTGTTTTTCAATTGTATGCAAATCAATTTAAAATAATATTTGTCAAAATCAATTAATAAAAAATTTAATGAAGTGTTCTAAGAAATATATATAAGTATATAAAAAAATTTATATAAATATGTATAATCGATTCAAACAAAGAATGTTCAACATAATAATAAAAAATAAAATATGGAAAAGTAATATTTTGATTTAAGAAAAAATAATATTTTTTTTTAATTATGTTAAAAGAGATTATTATAAAAAAATTGTAACTTATTATCGAGATATTTTAACAATATCGAGTGCACTCTATTTAATGCTATTTTCGCTTGAAAGTACTAAATTCTACCCTCTCTATATATGTATATATAGAATTTAAAATTTAAATAAAATTTAGAAAAATATAGTTTTATAAAGTCTTATTATTGACTTTACAAATCCAATAATATTTTACAAGCTACGAGAAATTATATACATATATCTTCTTTTTCTTCTTCTCTCTTTTTTTATGCAAATAATATCTGTAACGATAACAATATAATTAGCTAATTATTATAATATTACGAAAAAATGCTATGTTTGATAGAATCAAACTTTCGTATTATGCTGAATAATATTAATCGGTTTAAAAAGATAAATAAACGGTTTGACTTTCAATTGCAAAGTCTGCATACTATCTCTCTTACTATCGCATACTATCCCCTCGTCCCAGTGTTCGTCTAATTTTATAAACTTTGCTTACTTTGTAAAGCAAGGGAAATATAACTTTATTTGCAATCTTGCCAGTTACAAGGAGTTGCGCGACTGAAAAAAAGACTCATTACTTATACATATATAATGCTTTGCACGCGATGTCGTACATTATTATGTATTCCCTCGCGCCATTATGCTGCAATCCTTTTTGAAACTATCTCCAAAGAAATACACGATAAATTACGCGAATAAGCGACTAAATATTCGACGAGATATTTGGCTGTCTGTCACAGCATTTTTCTTCAGTAGTTTGATAATACAGAGAAAATGTCGTTCTACGATAATCGCTACTATTACATCAATAAAACGTTATTGTCTCTCATCGGCATATGGCCATTTCAATCTCGGTTGGAGGGTAACATAATGCTTATCATTACGCTGTTTTCTAGTTGCAGTTACACGGTTTTACAGGTGTTTATAGTACACCAGATACATACGATATTAATACGATAGTTAGAATCGAGACTGATTGACTGTTCCCGATACATGTAGCTTTGGGGTTTGATAGCCGGGATAAGGAATCTGAGCATTGTCATGGAGAATGCTTCGCCATTACTAATAAACAGTATTATTTTCATGAAGTTAATCAACTGTTTATATAATACAAATAAAGTTCGTATATTACGTATATTTTGTCATGCAAAGTTAATCGGATTGTAATTTTAAGTCGTACGATTTCTTCGAGCTGCAGATGAAAGATCTTTTGGAGCACATCGAAGAGACCTGGAAAAGGACACAAATAGGACCGGAAAATAAAATATTACAAAATTACGCAGAACAAAACAGAATATTAATAATAAGATACGCATGTAAGTAATCTTTATTAAAATTGTTGTCATATTAAATAAATGTCAAAGCGACAGTATATCAGAAATCGATGATATTTTTTAATGTCAACTTTCATTAGATTACATTTCAATCAAAATGTCCTAATTCTTTTCGTCTTTGTTTTTTTCTAACCAATATAAAAGAGATTAAAATGTTTGAAAATTTTCAGTTTTAACAATTGCGCTCAAAAATTGCGTTTTTTCATTGGTCTTCAATGTATGAAAAATTTCTTCTTTTCTTTACTAAAATATCGTTATTTTCGGAGCAAAATCTGAAGAAAAAAAAAATGACTCGTTGCAGCAATAATTTATATTTGTGGTATCTTTTACTCTACGATGCCCCTTGTTATCGGAGGACTGTACTCGCTTTTACCTACGAACGAAACCTACACAGCTAGGTTTCTATATCGCGTGGAACACGTCCTCGACATGGACAAGTACTTCAACCTATTGATGCTTGACGGAGTCCTCGGTATATTCTTCGTGGTGTCAATATGGATAGCTACCGATGGTATGTTCATACTTTGTACGCAACATGTCTGCGCATTATTTGAAGGTATACGGTAAGTCAATTCCGCGAATAAAACTACAATATGCGAAAAAGATTCTAAATAGAATGAAATTTTTCTGTTGAGCAGATACAATATAGAGCGCATACAAGGCACGGATTTCGTGATAGTTGAGCCAAACATAGCGGACGATGAAGCGTATCATGTCATAATTAGTTGCATCAAATCGTATAAACATGCTTTAAAGTTAGTTTTAGAAACGTCTTTAAATAGAGATACGTAACATTTGATACGAGAAATAACATGCAGAACTTCTACGTAACATCAATTGCTTTGTTGTTTTGTATAAAACTTAATTCATGTATATTTTTGTATACACACACAATATATCTTTCTTTCATA